TTAGTAGATTTAGGCTTAGCTCTACTTTGAACATAAAACAACTGGAATATTTTGCTTTATCACATATATTTTATCACATTGTGTGTTTACCTAATATAACGCCATTGGTAGTTTCTATATTATTCTCTTTTTGTTGTTGTTGTTGAGTGCAATTGAGTCAGTTCCAACTCATAGTCAGGGTTTCCAAGGATCAGCTAATGAGTTTGAACCACTGAACTGGTGATCAGCAGTCCAGTGCTTACCCTACAGCACTACAACATAAAATAATTTAGTAGAAGTCAGATGCTGAGACCTGCTCTAACAATGTGAGTCACTCTTCTCTGCTTTGTGTTCCTTTACTCTCTTTCACATAGTCCAAACTCCACTGAGCTAAGGTTACTATTTCTCACTGAATTTTATCCACATTTTTCGAGCTCTCTTCTGAATTTTGCTTAAAAGATTCCTCTTTTTCCCCCTCATTGTTCCTTCTCAAAGTCCTCCCATCTTCCAATATAGAATCTCAAAAGTACCATCCTACAGCCTCACCTGGGAACAGACTGCCAGTTGTTGGTAGATGCAAGACCTTAGATCAATCTTGAAAGAAAAGTTAGAGTCACTCAAAGTATAGAGCTGAATGATATGGGAGGACATTCTAAAACACTAGAGGAAGAATGGGGGAATAAGTTAAAAAACAGGAGGGAAACTACCTAATAATGACCAACAACTTACTACTGCATCAAGTCTGAGGCAAGGAGTTGTAAGCCATGAAGTTAGACAGGGAGCTAAGGATGTATCATATCAGGAAGGGCTTCTGTGCCATGTTGTTGTTGTGGTTGTTAACTGCCTTCGAGTTGGTTCTCACTCATAACAGCAGTGTAGGTTTTCCAAGGAGTGGCTGGTAGGTTTGAATCACCGACCTTATGGTTAGCAATCCTGTGCTTCTCCTATAGCACCAGACCTATATGCCATGAAATTTTTAGATTTTTCTTATAAGATGGGGTGTTTCTTAAACATATTTTGTAGAAGATGGTGTGGGTGATTTTGAATTTAAACACACCCAAAACACTTCCTTAGATCATGGCTCTAGTCTGATCTCATAGTTTTATTGCCATTGCTTTAATATGAGGTCCACAAATTCCTCAAATAGAGATATTATCTCTCCCCTGAACAGAGTTGATGAATTTACTCTGAAAAAGCAACACCCAACATAACTTTCATCTTTATAAATGGAGATGTTTTTCCAAGGGTGGTTGTATAGCTTATTGAACTATGAAAATATCCAGCTTACTGTTTGATGCTCAAAGTCTTTCATTCTTCTGACACTTACTTTAATCTACTTTAAAGAGCTCTGGTAGTGTATTGGTTACAAATCAGGCTGCTAACCTCAGGGTCAGCAATTTGAAACTACCAGCTGTGTCGCGGGAGAAAGATAAGGCTTTCTGCTCCCATAAAAGCTTATAGCTTTGGAAACCCTATGCAGGGTCGCTATGAGTCGGAACCCACTCCATGGCACACCACCACCACCACCACCGTAGAAAAATTGGTAACAGAGGAGGATTACAAATCTTGATTACTTTGAGGAAAACAAATTTCCATTTGTATTTAGAGGTGACCAATTTAAAAGCTGAAGTTCTCTTAATCAGCAAGCTTTTGTAATGAAATGCAGCAGGATTTACTTTTATATCAAAGGCATTCCCCAGATAGCAAAATAATGCAACCAAATACAATTAAAAGATCACTGGTAAGCAGAATAGAATGCCTTGGCTACATTTTGGGAGACTGCAGTTAATAATCTAGAATCTAGTGACATTTTAATGAGAAGTTTAAATTTACTGGCCCTGAACTCTGAAAGTATCAGTGCTTTTTACCTACCTAGACTTTCTTTTCAAAGTAATGAAGTAATGAGTAAGAATCAAAAGAAAAACTTGTGTTTAGGAAAAAATGCTTTACAAATAACTCAACTATAAATCTTTTGACACTGAAAAGAGGAGATGAACTATGATGAATCTATACCATTTAACAAGGCAAAGAAAGGACTCAGTGTCAAGGAAGGGCTGGAGTCGTAGGCAGGAGATTTGAACCCAAACCCAGAACTTGTCTTCCTAGTCACAGCCAGATCCGGGTACCAAAGAGAAAGTGATCTCAGGAATGTGGGACACAATGATCTGAGCTTTTGCATTGAGTCTAGAGGAGATCATCCAGAAGTGCCTTGGAAGAAAGACCTAGAAATCTGCTTCCCAAAGATCACAGCCTTAAAATGATTTGGTTTGGTTTGGTTTGGTTTGGTTTGGTTTGGTTTGGTTTGCTTTGCTTTGCTTTGCTTTGCTTTGCTTTGCTTTGCTTTGCTTTGCTTTGCTTCGCTTTGCATAGAGGATAAAAGAACAAGACATGTTGTTATGGCTTCTATTGTTCTATGATGAATGAAAATGCTCAAATTATTGTGCAATTTCGCTTGGTCATATCAAGGTCTTTGCTAAGGCCAACTTGTTGTTATGTACCATGGAGTCAGTTCTGACTCATAGCTACCCTGTACAAGTTTCCGAGGCTATAAATTTTTACAGGAGCAGAAAGCCTCATCTTTCTCCCATGGAACAGCTGGTAGTTTTGAACTGCTGACCGTGAGATTAGCAGTCCAATTCATAAGCACTACACTACAAGAGTTGTTATTATTAAGTGCCGCTGAGTCTGTTCTGAGAAACTGGTGGGTTTGAACTACAAACCTTATGGTTCACAGTCCAGTGCTGATCCGACAGCACCACACCACAAACCCAAGTTGAAGTACTCTGTGTGTGTTTTTTTAAGTTCTATTAAAAATTATAATCCTGATCATTATGCTTCTAGTATATAAAGAAAGTAGTCCTGGTGTAGTGCTGTAAGTTAATGCGCTGAACTGCAAGTTTGGTTTGAATTGTAAGGTCAGCGATTCAAGCTCACCAAAATCTCCTCAGAAACCCTGTATAAGGTCACTATGGGTTGGAACCAAATTGATGGCACTTAACAACAACAATATAAACGAGGTTGTTACTTCGGACCCACGTCACTCTGTGGGAGAAAGATAAAGCTTTCTGTTCCCACAAAGATGTAAGCCTCAGAAACGTTATACAGGGTTGCTATGAGTTGTAACCAACTGGACTGCATTTAACAACCACGTCATAATAACAGATGCTTTCTTATTTACTTGTCTATCATGTGTACTGGTTCAGATACTATATTTGGGAAGAAAAGGGAAGTGTATGTTATACATTTCCTCTCATCCAGAACCTAGAAACAAAAGCTTTTAAAGAATGTGTTTTATAGGTTTTGTCACTCATTGGTTCCTCCCCCATCATGGTCACTGCTGCTTCTTTTGTCCCATGATGACCAAAGTTTGATCCCATTCCAGTTTTCCTTGAAGACAGGCAGCTAGAATCTGCCAGGACATACCTTTGCCTCAAACCCAAATTAATATCTTCTGATGTTTCTTTTTACTGGATCCCTTTTGCTTCCAAATAGTTCTGCATTCTGCATTCATTAAAGACATATCCATATACTCTCTGACTGTGAGATGTTTCACTCCAGTCTTCCTGGAAGATCACTATCTGCCAGCAAATAAAAAACAACTTCCTAAGACGTATCATACCAGATCCATTTTGCCTTATATTTAGCCACCTGATTGAAACCCCCTTGCCCACACCAAATGTTAGTTACCATGCAGAATCAGTAGTTGGCCAAGTCAATGCTTATTTGAATATCATTGTAAATAATTTTCATCAGTGTTCTGAAGAGCTGTCTTTCATGATTCCTCCAAATTGTATTTAAATGAAATCTGAAACAAAATGAAAAAAAAAAAAAAAAAAAAGCTTTTCATCTATCAGGAAATTAAATTATTGTCTATTTCTCTCAACCAGTGCCTATGATTTGACTAAAATATTTTACTTATGTGAAAGACATACAATCACTCAATCTGAGAGGACAGATATCCTTTACAAGTACTAATTTCAGTGAGTGAAGATGTCTCTGACCACAGGGACCTTTTTGGTTGTAAGTTTCAGAAAGGGTGATACTATGTGTACAATACTGAACTAAATTCATTGTGGAACTCCTTTATTGCATCAATATACTCCTTACTTGGAGTCCTGGTGTGCTGCTGTTGGATAAAGCACTGGTCCACAAGGTCTGTTTGAACCACAAGGTTGGCAGTTCAAACTTACCAGACACTCCTTGGAAACCCTATACAGGGTCAGAACCAAATCGACAGAACGTAACAACAGCTCCTTATGTGCAGCTATCTATCCACCTCATTATTTTCTGTAACATGTTCTTTCATTTACACATCTACCCTGGTTCCTCATGTTGTTGTTGTTGTTGTTGTTATGTGCCGTGGAGTTGGTTCCAACTCATAGCGACCCTGCACAGGGTTTCCGAGGCTGTTAATCTTTACGGGAGCAAAACGCCTCATCTTTCTTCCACGGAGCAGCTGGTAGTTTCGAACTGCTGACCTTGCGGTTCGCAGCCCAATTCGTAATCACTGCGCTACCAGAGCTCCTTTCCTCATATAGGTCGAATAAGAGTCTTTCTTACTTGTAATAGTCCATTAAATATACACAAAACCTCCTTAATATTTTTTGTTTAAAACTTTTATTTTGATATTTGGTAGAAGTTCAATTTTGGACTCTTCAGCTCTGGACTAATGAAAAATGAACTAGAATCTGATTGATACAAATGCAAATGTGAATTCATTAATGAATGGTCATAATGCTTTTCTTTTTCTTTACCTCATATAACCTGTGTTTGATTGCCAAGCAATGACCAAATCTTAAACATAAACACAGGTCAGAGAAAAGGAGAACAAGACATTTATTTATAAAGCAGTGAGACATTGCTTGAATCACGAATCCACACTGGAGTCAAGATCCAGTGATGAGGCATTTGGGAACATTGAACCTGGTTGTAAACTGCCTCCCTCTGAAAACACACTCCCCCAGCAAGATCCTGTTCTGTTGCTTTTGCCTGATGTCTAAAGTGCCTCTGTTTTGTTTCAGCTGGCAGGGTTCATCTACGCCTGTTATGTTGTGAAATGTATAACTGAAGAAGAGGACAGCTGTAAGTATTAAAGCTCTATTATGTTTCTTTCAAGTTCAAAGCATCTTTTTCACCACCTCCTACCTAGCCATGCAACTTCTCAGACAATATCATCCAACACATCATTAGAACAGGGGATATGTCTTTTGTACCCATCATAAAGTGTTTTTCATAAGAGCATACAGCATATTGGAGAAATGAAGAAGCACTTATTTTGAAAACTTATTTCTTTCTTTTCATGGAAAGACATTTTTTAAGACTATTCCTTGTGTAACAATTCTAGTAAGAAATGTAGAGAGGAGATGGAAGTGGAAGTCATTTTACAATGTGGTTAACTTCACTATTTCCTTTTTATAAATCATTTACGAGGTGGTGGTTGTTGTTAAGTGCCATTGAGTCAGTTCTGACTGAAAATGAACTTGTATAGAGTTTCCGAGGAGTGACTGGTGAATTTGAACTGCCAACCAGGCAGGTCAAACCAACTTTGCAGTCTACTGCTTATCCTACAGCACCAAACCAGTATTTTAATTTAGTAGGTACTGCTATCTAATCAGTTTCACCCAGGATTACAAATCCCAACAGTCAACAATTCGCAATAGTTCGTACAATTCTCATAAGAATTGATTTCAGATTAATGACGAAAATTTTTCTCCAGAAAAGAAATGATAATATTTCCTTTGTTCCTATATATATATATTTTTAATACATAAATGGCTAGAACTCTAGCATAGAGTTTCAGCATTGAATTCTACTATTTGATCCATAGTTTGGATGATACAACCTTCTAGAATCATCCAAGTGGCTATGTAGTCTTCTGATCTTCCACAAATGACATGTGAAAGGTTTTCATCCTCCTTTACCCTATAAGGGTAAAGAACACAGGTTCAAAAAGAACATATCCAGATCAGTCATGAGGTTCAATGCTGTCTGTGATAGGATAATATCCATGCACCTACAGGGAAGACCAGTTAATACCACTATTATTCAAATTTACGCTATAGCCACTAAAGCCAATGAGGATGAAATAAAATAATTCTACCAGCTTTCAATCTGAAATGATCAAACATGCAATCAAGATGTATTGATCATTACTGTTGATTGGAATACAAAGGTTGAGGACAAAGAGGAAGGATCAGTAGTTGGAAAATATGGCCTTGGTGAAAGAAATGATACTGGAGAATGCATGATAGAATTCTGCAAAATCAATGATTTGTTCATTTCAAATACCTTCTTTAGACAGAATAAGAGATGATTATACATATGGACCTCACCAGATAGAGTACACAGAAATCAAATTGACTACATCTGTGGAAAGAGACAATGAAAAAGCTCCGTATCATCATTCAAAACAAGGCCAGGGGCAGACTGTGGAACAGACCATCAATTACTCATATGTAAACTCAAACTGAAGCTGAAGAAAATGAAAACAAGTCCATGAGAGTCAAAATATGACCTTGAATATATCCCACTTGAACTTAGAGATCATCTGAAGAATGGATTTGATACAGTAAACACTAAAGACCGAAGACCAGAAGAGTTGTAAGATGACATCAAGAACATCATACATGAAGAAAGCAAAAAGTCATTAAAAGACAAGAAAGAAGGAAAAGGTTAAAATGGATGTCAGAAGAGACACTAAAACTTGCTCTCTAGCATAGAGATGCTAAAGCAAATGGAAGAAATGCGGAGGTACAATAGCTGAACTGAAAATTTCAAAGGTCAGCTCAAGAAGACAAAGTCAAATATTACAACAAAATGTGCAAAGATCTGGAGTCAAAAAACAAAAAAGGAAGTACATGCTCAGTATTTCTCAAGCTGAGAGAACTGACGAAAAAAATTCAAGTCTCAACTTTCGTTACTGAAGGATTCCCTGAGCAAATTATTGAATGATGCAGAAAGCATCCAAAGAAGATGGAAGGAATACACAGAGTCACTGTACCAAAAGGAAATGGTTGATGTTCAACCATTTCAACAGGCAGCATATGATCAAGAGCCAATAATACTGAAGGAAGAAGTCCAAGGTGCTTTGAAGGAATTGGCAAAGAACAAGGCTCCAGGAATTGATGGAATAAAAATTGAAATCTTTCAAGAAAGTGATGTGGCACAGGAAGCACTCACTCATCTATGCCAAAAAATTTGCAAGACAACAATCTAGCCAACTAATTAGAAGAGATCCGTATTTGTGCCCATTCCAAAGAGAGGTGACCCAACGGAATGCAGAAATCATCGGACAATCTCTTTGATATCCCATGCGAGTAAAGTTTTGCTAAAGGTAATACAGAAATGGCTGTAAGCATACATTGACAGAGAAGTCCCAGAGGTTCAAGCTGGATTCAGAAGAGACCATGGAATGAGGGATATCATTGCTGATGTCTGATGGACCTTGGCTGAAAACAGAGAATACCATAAAGATGTTTACCTGTGCTTTATTGACTATGCAAAGGCTTTCGATTGTGTGGATAATGACAAGCTATGGACAACACTGCAAAGTGTGACTATTCTGGAACACTTAATTGTGCTCATGAGGAATCTGTACATAAACCAAGAGTCAGTTGTTCAAACAGAGCATGGGAACACTGAATGGTTTAAAATTAAGAAAGACGTGTGACATGGTTGTATTCTTTCACCATAGTTATTTTACCTGTATGCTCAGAAAATAATCTGAGAAGCTGGGTTATATGAAGAAAAACATGGCATTGGGATTGGAGGAAAACTCATTAACAACCTGCGATATGCAGATGATACAACCTTGCTTGCTGAAACTGAAGAGGACTTAAAATACTTACTGATGAAAATCAAAGAGCATAGCCTTCTGTATGGATTGCATCTCAATGTAAAGACAACAAAAATCCTCACCACTGGACCAATAAACAACATTCTTATCAAAGGAGAAAAGATTGAAGTTGTTAGGACTTCATTCTTCTTGTATCAAATATCATCACTCACGAAAGCAGCAGTCAAGAAATCAAGCGACGTATTTCATTAGGCAAATCTACTGCATGAGACCTTTTTAAAGAGTTGAAGAGCAAAGATGTCAGCTTGAGGACTAAGGTGCACCTGACCCAAGCCATGGTATTTTCAATAACCTCATATGCATGCGAAAGCTGGACAGTGAATAAGGAAGACTGTAAAAGAACTGATGCTTTTGATTTATAGTTTTGGAAGAGAATATTGAAAGTGCCATAGGCTGCCAAAAGAACCAATAGATCTGTGTTGGAAGAAGTGCAGCCAGAATGCTATTTGGAGGCCAGATGGCCAAACTTCGTCTCTCATACTTCAGACATATTGTCAGGAAGGGCCAGTCGCTGGAGAAAGATACCATGTTTGGTAAGGTGGAGGGTTAGAGAAAAAGAGGAAGACCTCCATGAGATGGACTGGCAAAGTGGCAATATCAATGGGCTCAAGTGTGGCAACAATTGTGAGGTTGGCCCAGGACCAGGCAATGTTTTGTTCTGTTGTGCATATGGTCCCTGTGAGTCAGTACTGAGTTGGCACCTAACAACAAAAACCCCATAAGGAGTTAAAACTGTTGTTGCTGTTAGGTGCCGTGGAGTTGATTCTGACTCATAACAATCCTGTATAGGATTACCTGGAAGCAGCTGGTGGGTTTGAACTGCTGACCTGTGGTTCATCATACAGTGCTTATCCTACAGAGTGCCACACCAGCCCAAGGAGTTGAAATAAAAGGGTTAAAAAGTACTTCTATTCTCACTGATTATCCTTATGGGAATTTTTGCATGTGTCTACATTCAGAGGAAAAATCATACACTAGAATAATTTTTCTTGATTTCTACAAATATTCATAAATGTAAGGTTTTGAGAAAGTACAGAAAAAGAGGATGGGAATCTACTTCTCTATAATTGGACTGGTTTGAGAAGGAAATATGTGTTTCTCACTTCCTATTCATACTAAAAAGGAAGAGTCTGTATCAGATGAGGCATTTTTCTAGGTCATGCATGGAGTCCTGGTGTGGCACTGCAGGATAAAGCACTGGACCACAAGGTCAATCTGAACCACACATTTGGTAGTTGAAACCTACCAGCTGCTCCTTGAAAACCCTGTATATAGTCACTGTGAGTCAGAACTGACTGGACAGCACTTAATAATAACAACAATCATGATGTATCATCAGGATTATACAGTATATAGTTACGTTATGTGTAAAAATAAATGATGCTTGTTCACCAAATAAGCATTTCTAAAACACTCCTCAATGTATCAAGTGCTATGTTGGGGTTTGGTGGTTTTAAGATAAGTAATACAGACTCTCTCACTTCCAGGAATTTGCCATATGGTAGAGAAAAATAAGTTTGAGGGCAAATAATATAATAAAAAGTCTAGAATATATAGTGGGAGAAGACAAGAAATAAATCTGAAAAGGTTTCATAAAAGAAGCTTATTTGAGTTTGTCTTGAAAGATGAATAAATATCTATCGGGTAGCTAGTGTAGGAATGAGGTGCTTTAGTCAAAGGGGGAAAAAGCATCAAGATGTCTGCCTGCCATGCTGGGAACAGAACTGTCCGATTAGTATGATTAGATTGTATCCTGTGCTAAATGGAACACAGAGAAGATTGGAAAAAGCAGGCAAGGATGATAAAATGGGTACAACAGATTAAGGAGTTTGGACTTTATTTTATACACCACAATGGCAAGTCAATTCATGAGTAATTTATAAAAAGAGAATAGTATCCTTAGAATTGTACTACAGAGAATCATTCTGGCATCAGTATAAAGGAAATGGAGTCAGGGGACAAGATTTGAGAAAAAGAGGCTAATTAGAAAATTTTGAACAAGCTCAAGATAAGTGATGATGAAGATCTTATCTAAGACCAACATTGGAGATAGAAAGGCTAGATATGATATGAAACATGCTAAAACTATTTTATTAATGGCTTATATGTGGGTATTCTGGTAAGGGAAGGTCCTGGGAGATTCTCAGGTGTGTGCTGTGGCTGAATTAGTAGGCGGAAATGTCACTTAAGGAATATAGGCTGAGGTGAAGTCAACAGTTTGAACATG